AGACTCCAGGAGCACATGCCTGACAGATCTGACCATATAAAAAGGAGTGGCTACAGATGAGATGGTGCACACCTGCAGTCCCCGAGACTCAGGAGGCTGAGGCAGGAGGAGTCCTTGAGTCTAGGAGTTGGATATTAACCTGAGCCCAGTAGCAAGACCTCATCTCAGGGGAAAAAAAAGACAAAAAAAGGAGCAATTTTTCTTTAACCAAAAACTCTTTAGACAAAGGAGATAAAGGCTGGGAGGAAAATAAGGAAACATAAATGACTGTAAAAAACAAACATTTCAAGGACTTCTGGTTTGTTTTCTTTTTTTCCCCAGAGTCTCTATATCTCTCTTGAAGTAATCTTTTGCTCCCTATATTTAAACTTGGACCATTTGACCCAGCTATCCCACTCCTCTGTCTATACCCAAAGAACTTAAAATCAGCATACTCCAGGGACACAGCAACACCAATGTTTATAGCAGCTGAATTCACAATAGCTAAACTGTGGAACCAACCTAGATGCCCTTCAATAGATGAATGGATAAAGAGACTGTGGTATGTATACACAATGGAACATTACTTAGCATTAAAAGAGAATAAAATTGTGGCATTTTAAGGTAAATGGATGGAGTTGGAGAATATCATGCTAAGAGAAACGAAGTAAGCCAATCCCAAAAAACTAAAGGTCGAATGTTTTATCTGATTAGTGGATGCTGATCTATGATGGAGCGGGGGGGGGGCATGAGAAATGGACCATCTTTGAATTGGGCAAAGGGGAGGGTGGGGAGGGGCTCTGGGGTAGGAAAGATGGTGGAATGAGATGGACATCATTGCCCTGGGTACATGTATGATTGCATAAATGGTGCATCTCTACACTGTGTACAACCAGAGAATTGAAATGTTGCACTCCATTTGTGTATAATGAATTGAAATGCATTCTGCTGTCGTGTACAACTAAGTGGAACAAATAAAAATAATAATAGGGGCTGTGGCTATGGCTCAGCGATAGTGCACTTGCCTGGCATGGGTGAGGCACTGGGTTCGATTCTCAGCACCACATAGAAATAAATAAAATGAAGGTCTATCAACAACTAAAAAAGTATTTTAAAATAATAATAGCAATAAAACTGCAAAGGGTTAATAATTATATAAGAACCGATTTGCAAACCAGCAGAAGAAAGGCCAGGGACCACAAAGGGAAAAAAAAAAAAAGACAAAGATGTGAGCTGGCAACTCACAGAGGAGGCAACCTCAATGGTAAGTGCCTGAAAACTGCCTTAAGTCTTCAGTCCTCAGATACCCCCATCAAAATAAAGCACCACTTTCTTCCTCCTTTTTTTTTCTTCTAAGAAGAGGAAGAGAAGCCACTCCTACAATCCCAGTGACTCAGGAGGCTGAGGCATGAAGATCCCAAGTTTGAGGCCAGTCTCCTGAGCAAGCTATGCATCACCGTAGAGCAAACACATTTGTGTCTTTCCACATGTAGGGTTTGTTTGTTTGTTTGTTTGTTTGGGGGTGCTGGGGATTGAACCCAGGGGCACTTGGCTACTGAGCCCATCCCCAGCCCTATTTTGTATTCTGTTTAGAGACAGGGTCTCCCTGAGTTGTTTAGTGCCTTGCTTTCGCTGAGGCTGGCTTTGAACTCTTGATCCTCCTGTCTCAGCCTCCCCAGCCACTAGGATTACAGGCGTGCACCACTGCGCCCGGCCAGAATTTATTGAATATAATGAATTCACAAGTTACACCACTTTCATCGGTGGCAGTTCACTGCGTACTTGCAGGTCATCTAATAGTCAAAAACCAGACAATCACTGATTCTTTGATGCCACTCTTAAGTTTTAATGTCTATAACACTCAAGTCTCTTAGGGCTCTAGGCTGCTCTGCCAAGAGCACAGGCAGAGAGCAAAGAGTCCCTGTAGGTGGTCAGATAAGGGTTGGGTTTTTTAAAATATTTTTTATACCTTTATTTTGTTTACTTTTTTTTAATGCAGTGCTGGGGATCGAACCCAGTGCCTCACGTGCTAGGCAAGCAGCTGTGCCACTGAGCCACAACCCCAGCCCCAGATAAGGGTTTTAACTAAGCAGCTCACAGAGTTGTCCAGGCAGAGATCAGCTGGGCGGGGGCCCCTGCTGTGTCTTCACAGGCAACAGAAACACCCTGAGTGGAAGCCCAAGAGAAACAGAGGTTCATCACGGTGGCAATTTGCCTGGGCAAGGCTCATGACAAGTGACCAGGTGATGGGGTCAGGGTGTGTTTCAGTCAGTTTTTTCATTGCTGTGACCAAAAGACCTGACAAGAACAATTAGCGGAGGAAAAGTTTATTTGGGGGCTCACGATTTCAGAGGTCTCAGTCCATCGATGACCAGCCCCATTCCTCAGGACCTGAGATGAGGCAGAACACCATGCGGAAGTGTGTGGCAGAGGAAAACAGCTGGGGACAGGGCACGAGGAAGCAGAGAGAGAGCGTGTGCTGTCCTCACTACAACAAAACCTAAGTCCCAATGGCACACCCCCAGGAACCCGCCTCCTCCAGCCACACCCCACCTGCCTAGTCACCACCCAGTTAATCCGTGTCAGGGAATGAAGGCACTGATTAGTTTAAGACTCTCATACCCCAGTCACTTCACCTCTAAACTATCTCGCATTGTCTCACACATGAGCTTTTGGGGGGTACCTCATATCTAAAAACATAACAGGCTGCTGCTGTGTCCATTCTTGGGGGGCTTCTTCTTTTATGGGTCAGAGGTGATGGGGTCACATCTGATGAGGTTGATAAGTTCCTGTGTTCAGTGTTCCTGGTGTGATTTGGCATGGGCACAGGTCCAGGTGCTCCTGATTCTGTCTGATAAATTGGCACCAATAAGTTATTTATCAATTTGTGTTTTTATGATTGTGCCGGGCAGATGATGGTTCTTTACTTGTACAAATACGGTGTAGAGTCATTCTACCTTGGCCCTTGGACTCAAAGTGGAGTAACATATTGTAAACTACTGCTTTACAAAGTGGAGTAACTTTGGTTTAGGCACAGCCTGAACACTGTTTTTTTTTTATTATTATTTATTTATTTTAGTTTTTGGCGGACACAACATCTTTGTTTGTATGTGGTGCTGAGGATCGAACCCGGGCCGCACGCATGCCAGGCGAGCGCGCTACCGCTTGAGCCACATCCCCAGCCCTGAACACTGTTATATCAAGGAGTAACTCCCGGGATGAGGCTGTCGCTCAGTGGCGAGCACTTGCCTAGCATGTGTGAGGCACTGGGTCCGAGCCTTGGCACCACATAAAATAAACAAATAAAGGCATTCTGTCCATCTACAACTTCAAAAGTTAAAAAAAAAAAAAAGGAGTAACTCCAGCAGGGCACAGCCTATTGTCCACACCTCTGCAAGTTAGCAAGACCCTGTCTCAAAAAGTACAAAGTAGCTCAGTGGGTCCAGTTTCCAGCACGCACACACACAGGAAGAGAGAGAGGAGAGGAAAAAAAAAAGAAAGAACAGAGGGAGAGAAGGAAGGAGGAAGAAGGAAGGAACCAATAAGGCACCATTTGCAACTCAGGAGACTGGCCGGCCCAGGAAGCTGGATGACAACAGGGGATAAGAGAAAACTAGAAGCACCCAGGTGTGTGCATCAACACCCATGGCTACTCAGGAGAGTATCTGCTAGCTTCAAGAAATCACAAGGGCATGTGCCCTGTGACCTGGAGTCCTGCCCGAGGAGAGCTCTCCCACATCTAAAGAGGCAGAAAGAAGATGTTCATGTCAGCAGTGTGTGTAATGGGGACGTCAGGCCAACCTGAGTGTGATCACCATAGGGGCAAGGCGGATAATAAAAGCCCCAGAAGTTCAATGTGCTGTAACCTGCAAGCCACTAGGAGCAACAAACAAGATACACATGGAAAACGTTACCGGTGAGTGGAAAGATGTGAAGATTAAGTGGCAGAATTAGCTTGGTAGCTGACACCATGTCTGTCAATTGCAAGCACATTCACATAGGAGATTCGCCATGTGCCATTCAGGCCAGGCAGGATTGGCTGTGGTCTGATGGAAGGGAGGTAAGAGGGAAGATGAGAAGCCACGAAGGGGAAATGAATTAATGGAATTCGATACGTGATGCAAAGCTGACTAAAGACTGCACAGTTGGGGACAGTCTCTGAGAGGTGACTACTGAGCAAGGATGAAGATAACAAAAGCTGTGAGAGGAGCAAGGTTAAGTGCCACTGGGCACAGGAAGCAGCATGTGCAAGCCTCTGAGGTGGGCATGAGCTTGGCCTGTGCAGTGTGGCTGACCGGGATGTGGAAGGGGCAGAGGGGGACTTGGGGAGGGTGGAAGAGGTGGACAGGCACCGAGGCATTCAGAACTTTGTGTACCCTAATCAAGCATTCAGATTTTATTCAACTACAATAAGAGGAGAGATTGACTAGCCTACTTTTTAAAGTTTCTTTCTGATTCTTTTGGTTTTGGTTTGGATTCAGGATTGACCCCATGGCCTGCATATGCTCTTCTACTGAGCTACATGCCCAGACCATAATATAAATAAATAAATAAATTTTATTTAAGAATAACATACAGAGAGAAAAAGATACATTTGTAAAGATGGCTTTGGCTGTTGCATGGAGACTGGACTGGAGGACAGTAAAAGAAACGTAAACTCAGCCTCAGTTTCCACATCTGCAAAATAGCAAGAACACTCCTTCCACTCAGGGCCGTGGTGAGCAAGTTGGGAAAACAGCTCCCTGGCTCCTGTCTTTTGCTCCTGGGATGCAAAAGGCCGCCTGTGGGCCCTGGGCAGCTGGGGCATGCAAGGCCCTCCGAGCCAGTGTCAGGCCCCAGGATCGCGCCCGGCTGTCACTCGCCGAGGCGGCCTCTGGGCGGCGCTGCGGGCCTGCCCAGCTCCGGGCAGGAAGCGGCCCCGCCCTCAGTGCACTCGGCGCTCCGTAGGTCCTGCCTGTTCAGGGCGGGGCGAGGCGGGGCGGGGCCTATGCGGGGGCGGGGGCGGGGGCGGGGGCGGGGCCGCGGCGACGCGGGGTTGACAGGCGCAGATGGCGGCGGCGCAGGGCTCCTGAGCCGGAGGCGGCCATGAGCGCCGCCCGGCCCCAGTTCAGCATCGATGACGCCTTCGAGCTGTCCCTGGAGGACGCGGGTCCCGGGCCCGAGTCCAGCGGGGTCGCCCGCTTCGGGCCGCTGCACTTCGAGCGCCGGGCCCGGTTCGAGGTTGCCGACGAGGACAAGCAGTCCCGGCTGCGCTACCAGGTGAACGGCCCGGCCCACCTCACCCCTGCTCCGGGCCAGTCGGGACCCCCGGCCGAGCCCTGGAGAGACGCAGCTCCGGCCAGACCTAGAGGCCCCAGCCGGAGCGGAGGCCGCTCCCCGGACGTGACTCCTGATCCAGAGCCCTGTCCAGACCCTCTCCACTCCGATTTAGGTCCCCAGCCCGCTGGAGAGCCCGCAGCCACGGTGGAGAACCGCACGGAGTCCCCACCCATCCTGGGGACCGACCCTTCTCCCCCGCGGGGTTTGGGGAACCTTCTGTATCAACGAAACCTTGCCCATATGCGGAGCATCAACCTGAGCCCTAGGCGGGATGATCTAAAAGGAACCTGCACCCCTTTAGAGCTTGAGGCCCCACCCACATGAGGGGTTGTCTTTGCCCACCCCTTGTCTCCTACTGAACTGGAAATCCTCATTTTCCGAAACCTCCAACAGCCCTTGGATCCTTTACCTGAACCAGATTCCTGTGCCCCAAACCCGGGAACTCTAGGCCTCTCTTTCCCTATCACCCTACACCCGGAGCCTCCATGATGGGCCCCTGAAATAGCATCCTGAGAACTCTACCCTGTCTCCCAAACTTGGGAGATCCCCTACCCCTGGGACTTCTGCCGACTCCTGTTCCCCAAAGCCCCCAGCATCCACCCACTTCTACCTGGGTTTCGGTTTCTGTGAATCATCAAACCCGTTCTACTGGGAGGGTGGAGGGCCAGGAGAGCAGCTGCTAGGCGGCCAGGCAGCCAGGCCAACAGCTGTGTGGGCTGCCTTCTCTCCAAGAGAGAAATCAGGAAGGGCCTGAGCCCAGCAACCCCCCTGAACCCTGTGTTCTGGAACAGAACCTGGAGAATGATGAGGATGGAGCCCAGGCCTCGCCAGAACCGGATGGGGGAGTCAGCACCAGGTCAGGGCCAGGTGGGGACCCACCCCATTCCCCAAGCCCCATGCATCTGGCTCCTGTCCACAGGGATCTACCCAGCCCCCCACTCCACTACACACAGCTCTGCTGTGTTCAGTCTTATGAAAAATTCCTAGCCCCATTCCCCTTGTGGGGTTCCCTGTCCAGCTGGTCACCCTATAGTTTGCATTCTCACCCATCCAACCCTATGAGGCTCTTTATCTGACAGGTCTGACCCCCACTTTCCCATAGGTCACCTGTCATGACCTCTCATCCCATCTTCCCCTATCAGGTAGCCCTGCAGAAACCCCCAGCCCTTGAATTCCTCCTTGTCCTTATCTCTGCTCAGGATCCTCTTTCCCGTAGAGGCCAGCCCTAGTGCCTGCCATACACACACACACACACACACACACACATAGTCTTCATCAGGACTCCTGTCCCAAAGGATTCCCTGTTTCCCCTTTCCCCCCACCCGCAGGGATTCTGGCGGAACATCTATGCGCAGCTCCCAGTGGTCCTTTAGCACCATCAGCAACAGCACCCAGCACACCTACCATTCCTGCTGCAGGTGAGACCCTGCTCACTTGAGCCCAGTCCCCTAGTGCCTGAAGCCCTAGCCCTGGCTCTCTCCTCCCCACCCTTTGCCTCTTTCACACCCATCCTGCTCTCCTGCCGTCCAGCTGGACCAAACATCCTTTGATCCAGAAGAACCTCCGGGTTGTGCTGGCCTCCTTCCTGCTCCTGCTGCTGGGGACAGGTGAGTGCCCTGAGGGTGCCCTTGCCTCCCCTCCCTCCTTCCGTGAAGGCTCTGCTTCCCTTTGGTACACTGGACCTCCCAGCATCCAAGGAGACAGCTAGCTTCCATCACCCCTCCCCGTGTTACAGTGAGGAACTGAGGCCTGTGATGGGCAGGCCCAGGCTCCTGGTAACTCAGCGAGAAAATCACACATAGAGCTGGAAATGGAACCTGTACCAGCTACCATTTATTGGGTCTACTTAAAGGCACATTTACTTTCTACCTTTCAGAGGTCACACAGAAAGAGAGAGCAGGGCCCAGAACTTTGTGTAGGGGAATGTGCTCAGGGATATGGGTGACCCTGTGGCCAGAGATGCTGAGTGTCTGCCACCCTGATCCAGAGCTCTGTCACTCCCCATTCTCTGAAGTCTGAGAACTGATCAGAACTCCTCTCCACCCCTATTGCTCAGATGGGGAAACTGAGGCCCAGAGCAGGCGGATCTCACCGACAAATGTCTCTGAATCTCAGGCTTCTCATTATACGGGGCTGAGGAGGCAGGGTTCCCAGAAAGGATCCAGCATTCCTTATGGCCATAAGGGGTCCATAAGGAAGGTGGCAGTCACTGTGGCTCCTCCTCCCTCCCTTTTCCAGGAAGGTCAAAGCCCCCACCAGCCAGGCCCCCTGGCCAGAAAGCCTGGCCCGGCTCCAGGTGTTTGAGTGCAGAGGAGGGAGCTGCTACTTTCCATCACCACTGCACACTGGGCACTAATGGCACTGGCCACTGGCGCGCTCTCCACAACCTAGCAAAGCAAGCATCATTGCCATCCCAGCTTTGGAAATAAGGACACAGGTCAGGCAGGTGAAGGGCCTTGCCCAGGTTGCAAGTTGATGAGCTGGGATTTAAGCCCACATCTGTGACTGCCAGGCCTGGAGGCCACCAGCAACCCACAGAGGGCCCTTGAAGAAATTAGAAAAACAGGGCGGAGCCTGCAGCAGCTCTAGGCCAAGGTGCAGGGAGAGAGAGGGGACCACTTTTTGAGGCTTTCTGTGCATACACAAAGCAGGCAACAGTCCATGGTGGCCCTCAAGCCCCAGGCTGTACCACCTCTCTTGCTGTACCCTGCCCTCTGTCAATCCTCTAAGTGGGAACTGAGGACTGTGGGTCTGAAAAGTAGACCTAGGCATGACCTCTCCACCTTCCCCCAAACGCACTGTCTTCCACCAAAGTCCGTATCCCTACCTGGTGCTATAAGCCCTACCATCCCTCCTGCCTGCGCTCTTCCTGTCCAGTCTTGCCAAACGCCAGAAGCTCTCAGAAAGCTAGTTCCCTCCAAATTCCGAGCCTTTGCTGTGCTATTCCCCTGTCTGAATTCTCTCTCTGCCTGAATGGCGCCCACAGCAAAGCCTCTAGAGTTAGCCAGCCTCCACCTTCCAACTGCGGCCAGAGGAAGTGTCTTCCCCTCTCTGTGCCTCAGTTTCATCTTATACCTGTCTCATTTGGTCAAGGTGACAGTTAAATAAGGCAGTGCATGTAACACACTTAGCCCAGTGGCTGGCAGAGCCTGGTAAGTGATCTTTAAGTATTAACTGTGATTGCTATTGCTGTTGCCACTCCTGCTCAGCTTAGATGTCACTACCTCCGGGAACCCTCTCCCTGGTCCCCTGGCTGGCTCCAGCAGGACTCCTCTGGATTCCCACACTGCCCTGTTCTTCCCCACCATATCCCGATCACCTGGGTTATAGCTTTCAGGTTCTCCTTGGACCCTTCACTAAGGAAGGGCCATGAGGGCAGAGACCTCATTTCCCTTTCGCCTGGGAATTCCCAGTACCATGCATGCAGGAGGTGTCCCCTAAGTATTGGCAGAATGACAGGTCACCCCAAACTCATTTCACAGACATTCCGCAGGGCCTGCCAAGTGCCCTGCTCTGAAGACAGAACTTGGTGAACTTCCTGGGGAGGGTCTCCACCCAGGGGCATCTGCTCAGGCGGGGGACACCATTCCTCGGCCTGAGCCTGGTTGTGGGGTGGGGGTGGAAGTCCCGCCCTCACCCCGCGGCCATCTGTGTGCAGCGCTGATCCTGGTCGGCGTGGGACTGGAGGCGGCCCCCTCGCCAGGTGAGCGCCCCTTCCCACCAGAAGGCAGCAGCCCTGGCCTTACGCCCGTGGGTCCTTGGTGGGCACTTTTCGGCAGAGTGAGGGCCCTGAGCCTGCCCGCCTCCCTCCGCAGGTGTCTCCAGCGCCATCTTCTTCGTGCCAGGCTTCCTGCTGCTGGTCCCAGGAGGTGCGAGCGGGCGCCAGGGCAGGGCGGGGGCGGGGAAGGGCGGAGCTTCGCACTGACAGGCCCCGCCCCGCAGTCTACCACGTGATCTTCATCTACTGCGCCGTCAAAGGCCACCGGGGCTTCCAGTTCTTCTACCTGCCCTACTTCGAGAAGTGAGCCGCTGGCGGGACTGTCGATGCCTGCGATTCGAGGCCGGGCCGCCGCCTCGCGTGCGCGGAGGCTACTCCGACCTGTGCGCCTCTTCTCAAGGGAAGAGGTCCTCTGGGACCCTCCCAACCCCAGACCCCCAGGAGTTTGCTCAGGAAGTGTGGGGCGCGCAGGCCTGGGCCTAGGAACGCCACCCCTTGCCTGCTTTGTGCCTTAACTTATTCTCAGGCCCTGGAGTGTTGAGTCGATGTTATTTTGTGCTAATAAAAGGATCATTAATTCCAGCAGGGATAGTTGTTCTTCCTGGCCCAGCCCGCCAGCCTGACCATGGCCTCTTACACTAAGGCTGAGAAAAGGCCTGATGCTCGACTAAAGGGCTTCTAGAACCACCGATCTCCAGATGATGTGCCAGGACGATCCTGATGCTCTGAGACTTGCCTGAAGTCACAATATGTTGGGGGCAAAGCTGGGCTTGGAAGTGGCAGTTCCAGTGTTCCTTGGTCCCAGCCCTGAGCAGGCTCAGCCCACCCTGTGTGCCCAGAGAGGCAGCACCAGCACCTGTACTGGAGGCTGCTAGCCTCGTTCCAGCTGGCTCTGGGCCCTGGGCCGCCACAGCCAGCCCTGAATGTGGGCCATGAGGCAGCAGTGGCCCAGCCCCCTGGGTCCATCGCCCTACTTCCCAGCCCCAGAGGTTGGGAGAACCAGGGGACAGGGCATGGGAAGCAGGGCCTCATGACAGAGAGCCTTGGGATTAAAGACCTCAGAATGCTAAAAACAGACCATCCCAGAATTTTGGAAAATCAAAGCATCTCAGAACCTTAGGAACCAAGAAACACAATCTTAACCCTAAAATCTAAGCTCATAGCAACCATTCATCTTGTTCTTACAAGGCTAATTGACAGTTAGAAACATAAGCCAGGGTTCCAGCGCCCTGGGCCCAGGAACCTTTCCGTGACACTTGGGGAGAGGCCAGAGAAGGAAACCAGGCCCGTGTCCCCTACCTCCCAACCTAAGGATAAGCTAGAGGAGTGTATTGTCCCCAAACTAAACATGAGTGTGCTTAGTGAGGGGCTGCCCACCTGCCCGAGTCTGCAGCACCAGGACAGCGCACACCTTTAGAGTCCTGCACCTTTGTTGAATGAATAAGCACCCAGATCCCCACCATTACTCCTGCTGTCCTGGCCCACCCAGGCCCCCCACCCTCAATCCCCTTTGAATGAAGGAACTCTTTAAACAATGTTCCCAAACTAGCTGTGGGCAAGGACCAGTTTACATTTCTAATCCATCATGGACCAATAGTTTTGTAAGATTAAAAACTAGAAAAAAATCAAGACATACAGATTCTAAGCCCACAGTATTATCAGATTGCTCACATAAAATTGCAATTTGAAAAGTATCTTAGAACAAATATAGGAAAGAAGAAAAATTACAAAACCTATTCAGTGAGCAGGTAGGCAACACAGTCACAATCTTATGGTGCTGGGGATGGAACCCAGGGCCTTGTGCATGCCAACCAAGCCCTCTACCTCCAAGCCACACCCCCAGCCTAGGGCGTATATTTTTCTGGTTAATTTATCCAACCCAAATTGCATGAACAGCAATACTTCTTTTTAAATTTTTTTATTTGTAGATGAACACAATACCTTTATTTTATTTTTTAATTTTATGTGGTGCTGAGGATCTAATGCAATGCCTCACACATGCAAGGCAAGACTCTGCCACTGAGCCCCAGCCCCAGCCCGTGAATAGCGATACTTCTAAACTCTAAATATATACTGCACATAATTTCTTTTGAAGACATTAATAGGAACATATAGATTTCTTTGGTGAATCATGACGCCATTTATCCCTTATGCTTCTGCCTCATAGCTCATTTCTATCTGATTTTCCCATAGTTACACTAGCTCTCTTTTGGTTAATTTTCTCCTGGTAAATCTTTTATCTGAGCCATCAGTTTCAGCCTTCCACTTGTCATTATTCTTTGAGTGTGTCTTCTGCATCCTTGACTCACCTATGGGGAAGAATCTGAGATCTGCCCTTCTGTATCTGCTCTCTGCCCTTGTAAAGAACCCCTGATTTTTAGTTGGGCACATGACCTTACAAGTAAAGACTACATTTCCCAATACCCTTTGCAGCTAGGTGTATCATGTGATAAGCTCTGTCTATTGGGATGTAAGGGAGGGAGGCGCAGGTGCTGAGGATTGAACCCCGGGGGCACTTAACTACTGAGTTACATCTCTGGCCTTTTTAATTTAATTTAATTTTTTATTTTGAGGCAGGGTCTTGCTAAATTGCTGAAGCTGGTCTTGAACTTGCAATCTTTTTGCCTCAGCTTCCCAAATGGCTGGGACTACAGGTGTGCACCACTGTGCCCAGCCAGATTGTTCATACTCTTTTCCTCTTTTTCCTTTATACCTGACTCGATCCTGCCACCAGGAAAACAAACAAATGTGGGCACTCCCTAAGGATGGCAGAGCAGTCAGCCAGAAGGAGGCTGGGTCCTTGAAGAATATATACAGTTGGGCTCCACCTATAGACTTTTCTTGAGCAAGCAAATTTCTACCCAGGTTAAAACACTGTTGTTTTTGATGAGTTATAAGAAAAACAACCTAATATTTTTTAATTTTTTGTTTTTCTGTTTTTGTGTGTGGTGCTGGGGACCAAACCCAGGGCCTCACACATGTCAGGCAAGTACTCTACCACAAGCCAGACCCCCACACCATTAGCACTTTCTTTGGGGACTGGGACTCTCTGACTTTAAACTAACAAATTTAATGTATTTATATTTATTGTAATAATTGATTTTTAAAGGATTATTTCCACTTTCTGTCTTAATATTTTCTATGTATTTTATTTTTCTTTGCCTTTTTCATCCTCTATCCCAACTTTCTACTGGTTTAATCAAGAATTCCTCATCTACCCTCCTCTACTGATCTGAGTATTGAGTGGAACAGTCTATTCCTGTTGTATTAATGGCTTCCCTTAAGTGGTCAACAGAGTCTAATGCTAACCAACAAACCTAGCCTTCTCTAGGACAGCATCATCATGTCCACATGCCCCATCGTCCCTGCCCCTCTGTCTTGAGGATCACTTGTTTCCCCACAAGGCCCTAAACATCCTTGCCACTTTCCCAGACTGGTCGGTGGAGACAGGAACAAGGCAGCCCTTTGAGACCCTGGAATGTATCTGTGAGGTTCATTTCTTGCCCCTGCCTGCAGACTTGCGTGGGTCTCTGTCACTCGTGGGTGCTAGAGCCCAGGCCCCCAAGCCTCTAGCCAGGTGCCAAACTTTGGTCTCTTTTCTTTGGAAACTGGGGTCATCCCCTTCTTTCAAGTCCATTTTTTAAAAAGACATTTTATATATGTTAGGAATGAGCGGGATCCAGCCACCCTCTCAATTCACTGTTACTGGGGATCCCCTAACGCTTCCCCCTACTGGGACACTGCCTGTGCCCAGGTTTGGGAGAGATCCAAACTTCACCCACAGTGGAGATGATGGGCAGTTGAGGGTAGGTCTTCGTCCAGGCAGCTCCAGCAGGGGTAGGTGAGCATAAAGGTGGCTGAGACATCCAAGCAGACTCCCTGGTGGTGTGTGGTCCTGGGGGGCCTCTGGGTCTCTTCCATCCTGGAGCCTCTTCGTAGGGGGGAGGGTGTGCAGTCCAGGCCCTGCTGGTGTCTGGGGCCCCAGGTCTCAGTGGGTGGACAACATCATCACAAACTCTGCAGGAGAGAGGGATGGGGCTTGGGCCTGTCCAGAAAGTGGGATCCTCCTGGGTGCTGGAGGGACAGGAGGAATGACTTGGAGGCAACTCACCATCAAAGTCTATGGTGCCGTCCCCATTGAGGTCCATGTCTCGGAGCATCTCATCCAGCTCAGAACCCTCCAGTGACTCCCCGAGAAGAGGCGGTGCTGCCTGCTGCAGCTCTGTGACTGTAATTCTCCCATCCTTGTCCCTGTCAAACTAGGGTCCAGGCACAGTTCAGCTCTACCCACCCTAAGCTTCCCCTCTACTAGCTCCACTCTTGCCACTCACTGCCTATGGGCAAGATGCCACCTCCACCACTACCTCACCCACCCAACCTTCCCATCCTCCCATGCCAAGATGGGGCGCCCTGATTCTGGAAGGCTCTATAGTTCATGCCTCCAGCTACACATGAGCCTAGCCCTCTCTGCACATCCCTGGGCCTCATCCTGAAGACTGAGGCCACCAGTCTCCCAGAAGTGACATTGTCCAGCCCTGCCCCCCGCGGCCCACCCAACCTCCACACCTCTTGGAAGGCGATGCGCAGCTCCCGAACCCCCAGCATGTGTGCCGTCTCCTCTCTCAGCTTTGGGCCTATCAGCTCCACAAACTCCTCAAAGTCCACGCAGCCACCCACTGTGGACCCAGACACAGTGTCACAATCTGGCCCCAAATGGGACATCAAAAGGGAGGGTGCAACCCCCCCACACAAGGCTCTGCATTCAGGAGGGCATATCCCATGCCGGCACTGTGGGGTGGGAAGCTGGAACTCAATCCCCTGCCTCTGCTTTCTGTGAAGAACCCGGGTATGGGAGAAAGAAACCAGGGTTTGGAGCGGAGCAGCCAGGTTCAAACCCTGACTCTGCTGCTGAGATGCGTGGCCTTGGGCAGCTTAGCCCCTCCCTCCCCCAGCAGTCCCTCGGTTCTAAGATGCTGCCAATCCTATAAGGCACCAGTGGCCAAATAACAGCTTTGGGGGAGAGGAGGAAGCACAGCCCTGCGCGCACACACCAGTCACAAATCACATGCCTGTTTTGGAAACTGCAAGAAAATAACCCACAGAGATCCCGGAATGAAGGGACTTGGTATCGCCCCAGGACAAAGCAGCAAATGATAACCTCACAGCGCTTAGTCACAGGGCAGCCAGGGCACTGTCACACCAGGCCTCACTGAGCCTCCTGAGACTGTATTCCAGGTGACCTCAATTCAGGCAGCTGCCCCAAGGAATGGGGAGGATGGCAGGGTGGGAGAGAGGGAGCCGCGGCTAGTCCCTGCAGACAACCGGCATCACCCAGTAGGAGGAGCCAGGCCAGGAGGCAGCGCAGGCTCAGGTGGAAGGAACAAGGGTGTGCAGAGGCCACAGCAGGATCCAGAGGCCAGGTTCCTCAGCCTGAGCCCCAGACGACGCTCTTGGATCACCCACCTCCCACCCTTGCCCCGCTCCCCTCACCAGGAGGCTGCAGCGCCGACCTGGTGTCCCCACACCTGATGGGACAAATGTGGTCCTGTGGCTACCCCGGAGGCTCTCCTTCACACCCACCACGGCCCCTGACGGGCTCTTGGAGTTTCCCCCCCGCCTCCCCCTGTGATCCTCCTGAAGACCAGGGCTGCCCTGAGCTGGGCACCGCCAGGCAGGCTCCCACCCAGCCGCCCTGCAGGGCCCGTCACTGACTGCGCATCTTCACGTGCTGCGAGACCTCGATGAGCTCCATCTCGGTGGGCATGTAGCCCAGGGTCCGCATGCAGGCACCCAGCTCCCGGTAGCCGATGTAGCCGTCCCGGTCAGTGTCAAACTCCTCGAAGGCAGCCTGCAGCTCTGTCGGGGAGAGAGGTCATGCCAGGTGGCCAGGCCCAGGGACATCTCTCCCCACCCCCACAGTCAGGAGAGACACTTACCCTCCCGCTCCTCTGGGCCCAGCTCACGGTCCTGTGGGCAATAGTCCAGCATGTCCCTAGGGCCAGCCACGGCTCTGTCTGTCCTTCCTCCTCCAGCTCCTGCCTGTGCTCCTGCTCCTGGGCAGGGCCACCCACCACCACCACCACCCAGGGGCAAAGGCAGCTGAAGTCCCGAGGGTCCCAGGAGCAAAGAGCCCTTACTCTGTGCCCCTGGCACCTTGAGTGGGTTCCACAGAGCCCCAGCTCTGAAGCCTGGCTCTGCCCACTGCACCAGCAGGTCTGAGACCCCAAGTCTGGAGCAGAAGAAGCAGGGGGCCCAGGTACTTAGGGGCCAGGAGGGCTGACCCCAAGGGATAGGAATCTCCACCCACATCCTCGAGACCCTCAGCCCTGCCCAGGCCCCTGACCTTCCCAAAGATGCGGTTGAGCAGGGGCCCGTATGTCCTCTGAGCAGCATCCTGCTGGGGGTCAGGGCGATGTCGATGGGACTGGCGGCGTGATGTGAGAGGTGGCCCCCCCTGCCCCTCTCCAGTCTTGGAAGGATTCTTGCTGTTCCCTGGGGCCTCAGGGCCCTGGACAGAAGTCTGCTCACCAGAGCTGCCCTTATGGGACCCTCGGAGTCCCCTCTCCTTCTTGCTCTTCCTCCTAGTCAAGGGGGCCCCCTCAGCACCACTGCCAGGGGCCACAACCCCCTCAGGGGACTTCTGGGGGTTCTGCTCTGTGGCCATGTAGGAAGGGATGGCAGGGCTCAGGAACACAGCGTCCCTGAGCACCCTTGGCTCTTGGGACCCATAAAGCTGCTTACGCACCCCCAGCCTTAGAGTTGATCGCCTGGGATGGGCCCTGAGGGGGATTAGGGTGAGTAGGCAGGCGGCCCAGGACCTCATCCCTGCCCTCTGCCCTGGGGTGGCCAGGGTAATGCCAGGTTGGTCACCAGAACTGTCCTCAGCAGAGAGGGGCAGGACATGTGGCTGCCCCTAGTTTCCAACTCCAGTTCTGCCATGTTGCAGCTGGAAACCGGGTTGTTGAACACCCCTAGTCCCAGTTCTTCATCTGGAGATGGCGACTCGAGCAAAGGGGAGGTGGGAAAGGAGGTGATAAGTTGCCCCCAGGGGCCCCTACGAGGTGACATCCTGGCTGAAACAGAGGGCAAGTGTCACCGAAAAGAGGGGCCAGGTTAGAGGGGCCAAGGTGCAGTGTCAGTGGAGCTGTATCCTCAGGGGCTGACAGCTTGCGGGAGGGGCCCAGGCATGGTGCTGTCATCTGGCCCTGTCAGGATGGGGGCCCTGGCTGGTCATTTGGCTACTGGGCCAGGGTTAGGGTTTCCCGGAGAGCCGTCCCATGAATGATTGATCTCCTCTCAGCTTGGGTTTCCTGCCTGCCCGCCTTCATGTCACAGAGTGCCACACAGCGGGCCCTGGCGTGGGGTGGTGGGTGGCTGGGCCGCTGGGCAGCAGGCACGCCCTGCTCCTTCCGGCCAGCTGCTGCCTGCATCTCACAGGTAAGCCAGGCACCATGGCCAGGGCCCTGGGGGAGGGTGCCCAGGATTCTGGTCCAATAGGGGTCTGCAGAGGAAGAGCTCCAAAGTGTGGAGAAGCCAGGGGCTAAAGTGGTTGCAGCCGTGGGCCCCAGGAGGAATCCAGCCGTCATCTGGTCTGTCCCCTAGCTACCACCTCAGAGGAATGCTCACTCTTGTCCACTGGCTGGAGAAGGTGCGGTGGGGACCACAGGCCTTTTGAGTTCCCAACCTGGGTGCCCCCAACTGCATCTCCCCACTCCTTACCCTGCAAAGCCCCCTCTCTAGTAGCTCCAGGAGACAAACAGAGCTACCTGCGCCTAAGCTCTAGAAAGCAGGAAAGGGCAAGGGGGGGGGGCAGAGGATGCTGAAGAGCCGCACACTGCTCCTGGGATAGGTCCCCTAGCTGCCTGTGCTGAGGCTCAGACCTCGCCCCAAATTCCTGAGCAGCATGCATGCAGGGAGGGGCTGCCTGCCCAGCCTTAGACTCCTATGGGTCCATGACACCCAGAGCCCTCCCCCTCTTGGAATTTTAAACACTTGAACCCCAGAAAAATCAAGCATAAAGGGATCTTGTGAAGAGCCGATCAACTGGTTTTCAAACTCTGTCCCCTGGAACCCTGGGGGGGTGCTCTTCAGTGTCCTTTTAGTTCATATAGGAGTTCAACTATGTTTTATTGAAACAAGATTCAGTGGATTTGGGCCTGGAGCAGTGGCACACACCTGTGATCCCAGCAGCTTGAGAGGCTGAGGCGGGAGGTTTGAAGCCAGCCTCAGCAACTTAGCAAGGCTGTAAGCAACTAGTGAGATCCTGTCTCGTAACGAAAAATAAAAAGGTCAGGGAATGTGGCTCAGTGGTTAAGGGCCTCTGGGTTCAATTCCTGGTACCCCCCCCCCAAAAAAAAAAAAAAGATTCAGTGTTTGAAAGCCTCTGTTGGTCTGCTTGGACTCATGGATTCCATGGTCAGATGCTTAAGTTCTGGTAGTTTCCTTCCTGTCCATGACCTTGGACAATTCACTAACTCAATGAACCTTCTTTCATCTATAAAATGGGTCCTAAGAGGACTACATGAGGTGTCCCTGGCAGGAGATGACTACTCAAGGACAAGATCAGGGAGGGACAGTGATTGGCAGGGAGATGCACATGCCCTGTGTCTCATACTCAGTCATCTGTGCCTTCATTCATCCAGCAGGTGCCCAGTCCATGTCCAGCAGGACACTGGGGACACTGTTATGGAAGCCAACCTGGACATTTCTGGCCGTGGGCCCCGCACAGAACTGGACGATGAGGACTACTACCCCCAGGGTGGCTGGGACACAGTCTTCCTAGTGGCCTTGCTGCTCCTGGGGCTGCCAGCCAACGGGCTGATGGCATGGCTGGCCGGCTCCCAGGCCCGGCATGGGGCGGGCACGAGGCTGGCCCTGCTCCTGCTCAGCCTGGCCCTCTCCGACTTCTTGTTCCTGGCGGCAGCAGCCTTTCAGATTCTGGAGATCCAGCATGGAGGGCACTGGCCACTGGGGACAGCTGCCTGCCGCTTCTACTACTTCCTGTGGGGTGTGTCCTACTCCTCCGGCCTCTTTCTGCTGGCAGCCCTCAGCCTGGACCGCTGCCTGCTGGCACTGTGCCCGCGTTGGTACCCTGGGCGCCGCCCGGCCCGTCTGCCCCTGTGGGTCTGTGCTGGGGTCTGGGTGCTGGCCACACTCTTCAGTGTGCCCTGGCTGGTCTTCCCTGAGGCCACAGTCTGGTGGTACGACCTGGTCATTTGCCTGGACTTCTGGGACAGTGAGGAGCTGCCCCTGCGGATGCTCGAGATCCTGGGGGGCTTCCTGCCGTTCCTCCTGCTGCTGGTGTGCCACGCGCTCACCCAGGCCACCGCCTGCAGGACCTGCTGCCGCCACCAGCCCGGGCCCCCTGCCTGCCATGGCTTTGCCCGCGTGGCCAAGACCATTCTGTCAGCTTATGTGGTCCTGCAGCTGCCCTACCAGGTGGCACAGCTGCTCTACCTGGCCTTCCTGTGGGACCTCTACCCCGGGTACCTGCTCTGGGAGGCCCTGGTCTACTCGGACTACCTGATCCTGCTCAACAGCTGTCTGAGCCCCTTCCTCTGCCTCGTGGCCAGTGCCGACCTCCGGGCCCTGCTGCACTCGGTGTTCTCCTCCTTTGCAGCCGCTCTCTGCGAGGAACAGCCAGGCAGCTTCACGCCAGCTGAGCCCCAGCCCCAGGTGGGCTCTGAGGGCCCGACTCTGCCAGGGCCCATGGCTGCGGCCCAGCCACGACTGGATGCCGTGGCCCTGCCTCAGGTGAGCCCCACGGCCCAGACACGGTCGGATGCTGTGGCCCAGGAACAGCCAGTGGTTGAGGCTCATACCCCCGCCTCTTCTTCCAGCTTGGCCACCACCCGCTGTGATGAAGCCTCCCCTGGCCCATCCCCAGGGCCCACCTCGGGAGCCTCTGGGAACCCAGCCACACAGGCTGTCCCTGAGGGAGCGAGCCCTGGCAGTGCCCCGCCAGAGGAAGCCTCCAGCACAGGCCCCACGTGAGGGTCTAGGGAAGTCCAGGCCCTCCAGGGCAGTGGAAGAGCCAGAGGGAGCCAGAGAACCAGCCATGGTGGACGCCATGAAGGACTCAACACTAAAAACTCCCTCCGAGTCCCTCGGGCCTAGAAGGAGGGGAAGTGAAACAAAGCATGTGAAAGTCCCAGAGAGTTCACTGTGAGTCCCCCACCCTGGGCACACCAAGCCCTTCCATGGTTGTTCCAACACATAGTCACCCAACAGCCCCCTAGGCCACAGCTAATGGTGTCCGAATTGTTCTGTCCTCCAATACCTCTAGACACCTGTTTCCCCTGTGCCTTGTTCCTGCTGGAGGAAGATAACAGGGGGACTTCCCTGGGTCCAATCAGATCTCCCTTTCATCCTTCACTCCCTGTCCTCCTCTGTCCTGTCCTCCAGCCTGGACACAAGGATACCAAATGGAAAAGTTCCTGCAGAAAAGGGAGGCCTCCATGAGCCTGTGGCTCCAAGCAGGGCCCAAGGCCTTAGTGGCCCACAAGCCAAGTCCTCTCCACCAATCTCCTGCCTGCCTCCAACAGACAGTGAGGCTGGTGCAGGATTTCCCCTCACAGGGCAGGCAGAGAAGAGGCAAGAGCTACCAAGCCTGGATTCAAATCCAGTTCTGCCACAGCCTGACTGGGTGATGGGGGACAAGTTACTTCTCTTTCTTAGCTCCTGTTTCATCAGCTCTTGTGAGAATTAAATGAGAAAGCGTGCAAGGCACTCACAGCAGCCTGGCATTCAGCAAGGGCTCGGTGAGCTGGTGTCCTCTTCCTTCCCACATACAGGGACCGGGGCTGAATGGGAGGAGGCAGGCAGGAGAGTGACCTAGGATTCTGTGAACAGCCTAGGCTGCGGACACCCAAGTGGCCTGAGAGAGCACATAGCCACCTCTGCTCTTGGGCCTGCTCCAGGGGACTTCAAGGTCGGATTCTGTTCGAGGGTCCAACTAACATCCACCTGTGCCCCGACCCCCAGGGAGGGCTGCTCAGCTCTCCTCTCTGTGGGGGCTGCAGGTACAGCTCACTTTGGCCCCAAATTCCCCCCATCCGAGCCCAAGAGCAGAGGCAGGAGGCTGTCCAAAGGGCTCAGAGCTCAGGGCACCAGTAGTCCCAGGAATGGCAAAGGTGAGCCCTCGGGCCAGCCAGCTCCTCCCCTTCCACTGAGACCCCACAGGGAAAGCAAAAGTGCCATAGGTCTCCCTGCCCCCTCCCCTTCATCCCCCCACCCTCTCCCACCCACCTGTTTCTCCTCACCCTCAGGGTTCCGAGTCCCCTCCCTTCCCTTCTTCCCCGACTCTGTCCCAGTAGCAGGGCTTGTTGACTGGCAGCTGAGGAGCCCTCAGGGAAAGGCCCGGTGTTGATGACGTTTGAAGTGCTGCCCTGGGAGTGGGGTTCCTAGCTCGCTCTTAGCCTTAGTTAGGGTGGATGAGCCCCTGCAGGGCTGCTGGTTGTGGCCATTAATGACCCCCTTGCACAGGAAGGCCATAAATGGGTGGCCATGGTGGCGACACCAGAGCATAATCATAGCACTCCTCAGTGATGGATTCCTGGTGCGTGCGGGGCTGGGGGATCTCCGAACAGGCGTGGATTTGTCGATTTCATTCTTCTGACAAATCTCTATTCTGCACTTTCCAGCTGCTTTTCTGGCCGGGCTTCTGTTCTGGAAACACGGGGGCAGGCTTCAGGGGGGTCCCTGGTACCCCTCAGGGGTTGTTTGAATTCCTGGCTCCACCATTCCGCAGGGGTGACTTCCAGCAAAGCTCTTGGTGTCTTTTGGACTCAGTTTGCTCACCTACAAAATGGGGATCATAATGATTGATCTTTATGGAGTGCTTGGGTCATTGCCTGGCACAGAGTAAGTGCTCAATGATTGTGACCCATCAATATGATGATGCCAGTGGGCACCCCAGGCCTTAGCCAGCCTGAGAGCAGTGCTGAGCCATGGGCCAGGGCCCACGGGGCAGGTCACCGGGTACTGTCCTCCCATCCCACCCACTGCCTCTTCTTCCACAAGCCCCGCCCTTCTTCTGACTGTCACAGGGCACATCTGAGGGAGGTCTGGACTTCTGTCCCCTTGGAACATTCTGCTGTGCCCCTGCTTCTCTCTTTTCTCCTGGCAGGGGTTCCAAAGCCTTTTATTTCTTTTTCTTTGGGTACTGAGAGTTGACCCCGGAGGGCTTTATCCTGAGCTACATCCCCAGCCCTTTTTATTTTTTATTTTTTATTTTTTATTTTTTATTTTGAGACAGGGTTCCACTCAGTCACTAGGCTCGCCTGGAACTTTGGCATCTGAAATCTCCTGCCTTGCCCTCCCGAGTTGCTGGGATTTACCCATGTGCCAGCCACCTGCCTCAACACTAGTCCACATCTTAAACCCTATCTCTTGGGGAGGGAGCCAGCCTCACCCCCAAGGTCCCCAAGGGGAATTGTTCCCACAATGAATAATTGTTGTCCAGGGAAAAGAGCAGTGACCTGAAGGGTTTTGCAGGAAAAAGAGGAGTTCTCCTAGTGACCCACAGAGAAGGTCTGTGTTGGAGGAAAGAGGACATTAAGAGAGGGCTCGTTCACCCCCAAAACATTCTACATCCCCTCACCTCACCTCAATACACCCCATGGAGCCAGGTTCCTGTGGCCTTCTGGGAGATTCCTTCCTTTTGTAGGTGAGAGAGCCCCTCCCTCTCGTGCAAAGGGACCAGACA